ACAGGTTCTGGCACCAGTTCCTAATCAGTGTCTCCTGGTCCCACTCCTGCCACACATTGCCCCTCTCACCATGGCCCTCAGGAAAAGGCCCCGACTCCCTCCACTCCCCCCACCCCTCACCACCAGCCATTTCTCCCCTTTGACCTAGATCTTCTCCGCTATTTGCAGCTCCAGACCCCTCACCATAATCCAAGGCCGCCCCTTCTACTGAGCGGCAGCACTCACTAAGCTTTCCCCTCCCCCGTGGGAAGTCCTCCTGCTTGTCTAACCTTGCAGTCTCCTGCTGCACTAGATGTTTGCTCGCTCCGGGCTGCATAGGGCAATGTTGCTGGGTGGGGAGGAGGGGTTCTTCAGGGGACCTGGACCCAGGAAGTCAGGTCATCTCAAAGGCGCTGCAACATAAAACACCCCCATTGTCCCACTGCCCTCAGCTCCGGTGGAGGGAGAACCCCCTTGCTGAAGGGACGTCCTGAACCAAGCCACTGTCCCCTGCCAGTGCATCCCCGTTTGGCCCAGTTCAGTGACCACTCCAAGAGGTCTTAACTAAAATCCCCAGGTCCTGTGCTGGGCTCTGCCATGTGTCCCTGACGTCTGGGGGTTACAGTGGTTAGTCAGATGAGGTTCCTCTCGGGCTGCTCTACGGGGATGGCAACGGCCCATGGACGTTCAGGGCAGGGAGCAGTGTGAGTCACACAGGGCAGGGCGTGGGCAGTGGGGGCCAAGTGCTTGGAGAGGGAACCAAAGGCCTGGGTTTGTCCACCTCCCTGCCCCATCTCCAGCCCTGAGTCTTGCTCCCCCTGGAGTTGGGGTTCCGGCTTGGGTTCTGGACTCTTCTCCTAAATCACCTTTAACTTGCTGCCTCTCGGGTACACCAGGAGCATCTCCCCTCCCCTCTGCGGAAGCCCCTCTTCACCCTGTAGGAAAAGCACAGGCCTCTGAGATAGATCCAGGTTTGAGCCCCATTCCACCACCGATTGTGGAGTGGCCTCAGCCAGGACTTCCTTCCCTGGGCCTCAGTTTTCCCATCTGTAAAATGGGAGTGATAGCAGTTCCCATCATGGAAGGCTTTACAATAGTCCCTATCAGTGCGTTTGTTTTCTGCAGGTTCAGTTATCTGGGGTCAGAAACATTAAATGGAAAATCGAAGAAATAAAGAATTTATAAGTTTTAAGTCGCATGCTGTTCCAAGTACCTCACCTCACCTCATCAATTAGGCATCGCATCATCTCACATCATCACAGGAAGAAGGGTGAGTACAGAACAATGATATTTTGAGAGACACCACACTCACATAACTTTTATTACAGTACTGGAGGCCTGATGCACTGGATTTGCACACTGGTTGGGGCGTGGCCTGCAGAGATTGGCCTGCTGTGGGAGCGCTCCTCATCCTGGTCAGCCTACGGCATTCCCACTGTGGGAGCGCACTGACTACCAAGGGGCAACTCTTGCATTGAGTGTCTGCCCCCTGGTGGTCAGTGTGCATCATAGCGACTGGTCGACTGGTCGTTCTGGTTGTTCCGCCGTTTGTCACTGGGCTTTTATTATATAGGATATTCTAATTGTTCTGTGTTATTAGTAGTTGTTGTTGTTAATCTCTTATGGTGCCTAATTGAAAAATTAGACGTTCTCATAGGTATGACTGTATAGGAAAAAACATTAGGGTTGGATACCATCTGCAGTTTCAGGCATCCATGGGAGTCTAGGACATATCCCCTGGGGGTCAGGGGGGCTGCTGCCGTGATCTGAAGTGGCAATGCAAGTTCTCTTTATTCTGCTTTTCAGAGGTTCCCAAGAGGTCCAAGCAGTCCCGGGGGGCGGGGGGCCAGGAGGGCAGGAGCCTCTGGATATGCAGACAAACACTGGAGTTTTTATAGCACCAGGTCCAGCCCATCCAAGCCTCACCCCTCAGCCATTGTCCTGTAGCTGCCGTGCGCCACCTTGTGGCAAATGTGGGACCACCTTCAACCCTGACTTTATTGGGTCTCTCAGAGGCTTCCCCACCCCCTCCAGGCTTCTCTTCTCTAGCTTTCCTCTGGCCTTCCTCATACTTTCCTGAGGGTTCCTTGCTCTCTTTCTTCCCACAGTGTTGGGGGATTTTAGGATCTGCTCCCAGCCCCCTGCCTTTCTCACACGTCCCTCCTTGGGTGAGCACATCCACACCCAGGCTCTCTCATGAGCTCTGCACCAGTGATTCTTAACCCTGTTCCGATTCCCTCTTGGCAACAAATGTCTTGTATCATGCTCTGTTACCCAGAAATGGAATGACATACATATGCATATAATTCCCAAAAGAAATCTATCCTAATGCTCTAACTAAAATATCAGAGTAAGTCATTATAGGCTAGTGTTGAAATGTACAAATTCAGGTTTCTGTACTTCCCTGCTGTGTGATCTTGGGTAAGTCACTTAACCTCTCTGTGCCTCAGTTAGCTTCCTAGTAAAAAAGGGATTTTTTTTTCTATGCAGCACATTATTGCATAGAGTTGTTATGAGGATTAAATGAGTAATTTTTCATGAAGCATTTAGAACAGTGACTGGCACATGTTAAGAGCCAAGTGAGTTTTGGTTAAACTAAAAAGTAATTTAAGATGATATGTACGTATTTCAAGTAAATAAACATTTTTATTGACTCCACTAGAAGACAGTAAAATAACAAGAGGCTTGCACCTACCCATAAAAGCCCCCCTGACTGCGGCAGCCACAATGCAGACTGATAAAGAGAATGTCAGGTTGGCAACTCGAACACCACAAGTAGCGTTGACGTTAAGTATGTAATTTTTCGGTGAGTAAGCTTCTGAACAAGAGAAAGGGCGATCTCCCTCCAGTTTACAGGGAAGTTATATTTCAGCGTACATTAAAACTCAGAGCGTTCATGCAAAAATGGGCTCAGCTCAGACACTTACAAACGGGTCTTTTTTCCTGTCCACGCCTTCAGGGACTGTCCTGCACATCGTAGGCTGTCCAGCATCCTGGGCCCCACCCACTAAATGCCAGCAAAGCCCCCTCCACCCAGTCATCATGAAAACTGAAAGCACCCCCAATGCCCAGAACAGTGCCCAGGAGGCCCCTGGGTTCCACACCCACTGCCAGAGGGACTTTTCCAAATTCCAGATTGTGTCTGCAGCTGTTCACTCCTAGTTACTGTCAGGAAAGTCCAAATTCCTGAGGCTGGTGCCTAAGTCCTCATAATTGAGCCCCCTGCTTCCTCCCCCCAGAGCAAATCTACACCGTCACCCCACCCACTCCCCTGCCCCCTGCACACTCAGACAGGGCACATAGCAGGTGATGAATTATTACACACGAAGGCCCTTCAGCCCTGACCGTGGGGATCGCACATCTGGTGGAGAGGACTTTTCTGGGAGGTGCTTCCACAGAACCTGCTGGGGGTCCCAAGGTCAGAGAGCTCAGCTGCCAGACAGCAGTTTCCCGCAGGAGGCAGGGCCTTGGAGTGTGAATAGGAGTTTTCCAGGGAGATGGAGGCAGAAGGCAATCTGGCTGCAGACCCAGTGTGGGCAAGAGTCAGGTGAGAGCGAGGGCATGCACTTCCACCACTGCAGGCAGGTGAGTACTAGCTGAGGGCAGGATGTGGAGGGCTGTGATGAGAGGTGAGGCTGGTGCGTCAGCAGGGGACAGCTGTGCAGAGTTTGTAAGGTGCCCAGGAGACAGAGCTTTGTAATGGGGGCACTGGGAGCCATGGGAGGGGTTAAAGGGGGTGACACAGGTTGCATGTTGCAGAGTTCCCTCTGGGAGGAGTGTGGCAGGTGCACGACATGAGGGCAGGAATGGAAGGATGCCAGGGGACGGTCACAGGTCTGAATTAGGGCAGAGGAGGGTGAAGAGCAGGGAATTTGTGGGGCAGAAACAGCAGAACTTGGTGTCTGCTGATGAGAATGGAAACAGGTGCTGGTCAGATGGCTTAGGGAGGGTGGTCCAGACAAACCCAGTCTTCTGCAGCATCATGGACAGGCTGCAGGCCTCTTTGGAGACACTAGAGGGCGCTCCAGGATAGGTTAGGCTCCCCTCTCCCACCTGCTGCCAGTCCCCACCGGCTCCTGGAGGGTGATGGGACCCACCCCATGGTTCAGACGTAGTCTCTGGGTTTCTGCCAGGGCCCTGACCAAGTCCAGTGGCTCAGTCTCAGGTCACCTCACCCTCCAGCCGCTGGGTTTGTGGGACAAGGGGAGGGGGCATTTCTTGAGCTGGGAGTAGATCGGGCAGAAGTTGGGGGTTGTAGACAAGAAGTACTGACATCCTAACCTGCCTCACCCTGCTCTGTGGCCCCTAATCCCTTGGGCAGAAGGGGAGCAACCCACCCAGGGTCACACCACTGTCAGCGGCAACACCCAACCCAGCCAGAAGTGCTGCCCCCGTGGGGGACAGAAATGGACCAGAGCTCCCCAAGTTAGAGTGGCCCGCAGACAGACTGGGTGAGTGCAAGCAACCTCTCCAGCTCCACCACCCTTCCCACAAAACCCTGAGAGGGAGCTGCCCCTGAGTCACCTCACCCGAGGGGGAGGCAGCGTTCCACACAGAGGGGTGCCCACAGGCCTGCAGGCAGGTTCGGGAGAGCGGCCGGCCGAGTGCAGGGAGCAGGGCTGGCCGGGCGACTGGGAGGTGGTGCCGGGTGCTACCAGCAGCAGAGGGAGCCTTGGCAGGCCTCCTGTGGGCACAGCCCGCAGAGCTTGGCATTTGTGAAGGACCCCAGCTGCACAGAGGAAGGTGGAGGGATCACAGGTTGTGGA